TACCCAGAATGAAAGACATACTGGAATCGGATAAGATGCGTTTGGAGCAGTTTCTGTGAATCACTCTTGATTTCTCCAAACATTAAAACATACAAGTGGTCATTCGCTCGAGTATGTGAATTATGCTGGCTAAAAGACCAGAACTGATAGCGCTAAAAGCAAATCATTGACGAAAGGTATCTGTTATTGCGTTTCCAACTGCTCTTTATTCGCGGACATAAAATTCCCCGAAACTCGGTGCAGCAAAAAGGAGCCTACGAAATTCCTGAAACTCTTCTCCATCCAGTTCACTTCCGTTCGCTTACTCATCAACGTTATTTATTATTATTAGGACAAAAAACAAATTCCAGACTTTCAGACATCCCTTTTACTCTTTTCCTCAAGGGTTCGAAAGAGTCTCTTCCATAAACCAGGTGAAAGGGAGTTTTTCAACAGAAAGGATGACGACAGTACAACCCACTGCCCAGGAAGCTAAAAGTGGCTTGTGCTTTTAGTGTACCATCTTTACCCACTCGAATAAGTAAAATCTTTTTTTCCTCGAAAGTAAGCACGAGATTTTGGAAAGACTGCTTTGGTTACTCAAATTCAAGGAGAAATGCAACATCAGAGTACCGTTACAACAGAACTGAAACTTGTACGGAGCAAAAAAGAGACAAGTGGAAAGAAAAATGAGCAAACCCTGCTGCTGCTGATGAACAGTTTCTTTGGACGACCCAGTGATAGTGTCGCGGAAACGGAACAGTGCTGTGGATCGCTGATTATCAGAGTTCGACTCGTCTCCACCGATCGTTGCTGCACCGCGCTGCAAGAAGAAGACATTCACCATGACCGCCGTTGCTGGCGTTTTGAGACCATTGAAGCAGCCAGCAACAAAAGAGTACTACATTTTTGTCGTAATAATGAAAATTATGGGAAAAAAGTCCTCCTAAGTATCTGATCGAGCCAAATAGTGATGCTCAACACACACCGGTAACATCTCGAGACGGCTAAAGCCTTACCGAATAATTTCGCAGAAGAAAATTTTAGACCGATTATCCTTCCACTAGACGAAAGGAATGTTAGGATCGCCAGCGAACTGATCGCCAGGCCATTCAACACTGGTCAGAGCAACTAAGAAAGTTTCCGACAGCATAGCGTTGAAGAGTTATGCTATAAGCTGTAACTGATCAAAGTACCAAGGAATAATTTCAGTAGTGATGTCAAAAAAACACATTCAAATTAAAAAGGAAAGAAGGGAAGTCAAATCTGAAAGAGGATGAAAGAGGATTTGCAGTAGGGCGGAATTAAGAAGCGAGTTATCCATGATGGGCGTATGTCATCTGAAGAGTATATGAAAAACGGAAGACTTCCCGCTGTGTCCTCAAAAAACCGCAACAACCACTTGAAAACTGAGTGCTCTAGAAAAATCCAGCTGACGATCAACAGATCCTTGAAATTTTCTGTTGCAGTATGTCCGTACTGCCTCAATATTCATCTAAGCCATACAAGATGTGATATACCCAGAACAGCACAACTCGAGAAAGAAAACATCAAAAGCATATATGGTATTCGTGCACTACATTCATGGACACAAGCTGGTTTATGTTATCCAATTTTTTTTTCGTATTTATGCAAATGAAAGAACTCGTACCGACAAAACTCGTATGTATTTATGTGTGTTTGTGTGAATAGCTGTTAGTGCATATTTGCGTGTGTGTGTGTGTGTGTGTGTGTATGCTTGTATGGGTGTGTTTAAGCATGCGTATTTGTGTGTGTGTGTTTGTGTATGCGTGTATTTTTGTGTGTATATGTTCAGGTACTTATTAGCTCCACGATCATAAAAGCTAGAAAACTGAAAATGTGCAAAAATGGTTCTCGACCGGGTGCTGCCTTTTTGTTTCAATATCAGTTTTCTAGTTTTATCGGTTTGGAGTCATACTCTCAGGTAAATTAGCAACAAATTTGCATAGATGTCCCAGATTTGCGCATCACACATCATTTCACT